AAAGCCCGAATGGCGCAAGATCCTCGCACCACCAAAAGAAGCCGATCGATCAAGTTGATTCAAATCGACACAGGCTATTGGTGATCCCTCCAAAACAACAACCATCACTCCGTTTGGCCCACCTCTTGGCAAAATAGGAACTTCGCAAAGAGCTCACCAACTTTCTTCAGGACAACAAAGATATCTTCACTTGGAAGCAAAGAACCGACATGAAGTGTGTCCCAAGAGAACTTACGAAAAGGTGGAGGTGGAAATTGATATCAATGAAGGCTCCAAGATTCGTGAAGCAAGCAGCGGCGCACGACGATTCTCACCCGACAAGAAGGCAGCAATTAAAAAGAAATCACAAAGCTAATGGCAATCGGATTCATCGAAAGAGAAATCCTTCATCCAGATTGGCTAGCAAACCCACCTTCTAGTACAAAGAAAAAAGAACACGAACGAATCGGCATGGCGATGTGTGTCGACTACATGATATCTCAATAAAACATCGTCCAAAGATCCGCCACAAGATTACCATGGTGAGATTTTCCACTCGGAGACATCTTACTAACAAAGACGATCGATCGATCGATAGTTGATTCAAACAGGGAGGATTGCCCTATTATCCTTCCTTGATTGCTATTCGTGATATCACCAGATCGCATTAAAAGAACAAGACTTTAGAGCAAGACATCTTTCATCACTCCGTTTGGTGCCTCATCTGCTACAAGACCATGTCGTTTGGACTCAAGAATACATGGGTGTCACTTACCAAAAACATTTCCAAGGATTAGAAATTTACATGTCCCGCACTATCGCCAAGCTCCAACATTACAGAGAGATGAGCGTGCCTTGGCGTATTCATAGAAGAGTTCTCTATCAAACAATCCGAGAGATGATAAAGGCAGGCACCCAGATTTGGTCACCAAAAGCGGATAAAGAGGAGGCTACCCGAGTTGAAGCAAGTGTATGACGTGGTAGTACTCCTAAAAACAAAGAACCCGGATACACTCGATTGAAGACTTTACTAGCAAACATTCGAAAACACGAAAAGGTGGAGGTGCAAGAAGCGAACCCAAACAAGTGTGTATTCAAGGAGTTCCTTCAAGACAATTACATCTTCGGATTCTTTGACAAGTCACCAAGTGGATTGAATACAAACGAAGCAAAATAAGCGCCAAGCAAATTCGAGCCATCCAAGACATTAGATGGGCCCTCCTCGAAGTATCAAAGATGTAGAAACTAACATAGACTACGCACGGCGGACCCTCAATCGTTTCATATCAAGACTAAAACCAAGATTGTATGAAAAAGGGTTACCTTTCTTTAAACTATTAAAGAAGAGACGTGCCAACCGAACGGCAAGTTCGAGTGACGGAAGAGGCAAATGAAGCTTTCAAGAAACTCAAAGGCATACCTCACCTCCTCGCTAGTTCTCACACCTCCAAAGAAAGACGAAGACATGATGCTCAAATTCGAAGCTATACATCAATCACCGATCTGTTTTCCACCGCAAATAACTTCTACCGTGATTAGCATGGCGATACCGTCGCGAGAAAAGACAAAAGAAGAAGAAGGCCACGTGCTATAAAGTACAAGTCGTACACCGCGATCACTCCGGTACATAACATCGCCGACAATACTTGTCGACCCGCCGGAGAATCAAAAAATCCGGTACCCACATGTACAAAACTACTCTCGCCCTCCCGATCACTTCGACTAGCGTCGACAACTAGCGGAATCAACAGCCACTATTTTAAAAGCCACAAGATTACCGTGGTGACAGATTTCCACTCGGAGACATCTTACACAACAAAGATCACTTTTGTCTTCTTTTAGGCTTGAGTATATCTAAGTGGGCGCCTAAGTTGAACTGTGCTCTCGATATCGATTTCACCCGGGGACTGAGAAGGCAATTAAATCTCAAGCCCTTGCCGATTTTGTTGCCGAGTGGACAGAAATTCAACAGCCTATGTCAAATGCCATCCTTGACCATTGGAAGATGTACTTTGATGGATCACTCAAGCTATAATCAATCCAAGGCTCGGGGGCTGCAACAGGAGATGTTTTTAGTTCTTTGAATAACTCAGATTCAAGACCCTCCAACTCTTTGTTCCAAATAGCAAGAGGCTCGGGGGCTATACTCAGTGAGTGCACTTTTTCTTCAAAAAAGCGCATGTCACCAAGAAGACTTCTTCAAGACAGACCACTTCAGGGCCTCATGACAAAAAGAACCTGGACGATTTCAAGACAAGATCCTCCAGCTCCTTGTTCCAAATAGCAAGAGACTCGGGGGCTACACCCAAATGAGAGTACTTTTTTCTTCAAAAAGGTACACACCACGCGAAGATCTCACGAAGCGCTATATGGTTTCTCTCAAGAAAGCACTCGGACGACGCTTGTTCCTGCTCGGCAAGACCTGAAGGAACAAGACGAGGCTCTCAAAGCTCAACCATGAAGTGCTCGGGGCCTTGTCGATGCGGGACCCACGGGATACCCCGTAAGGAAGAGAGGAGATCTAGTTTAATTAGGATTCCTCCTATATAATCCTAGTAGTAATATTACCCTGTAATCCTACTAGGACTCTACATTGTAAACCGACTAGGACTCTAGCCTCCTGACTATATAAAGGAGGGCAGGGCTCCTTAGATCAGAGGGGGGTAGAAGGATGACTTTTACGACTGTAACAACACAACTCCAGACAATCAATCCAACGCAAGGGCTAACGCCGACTGGACGTAGGGCTATTACTCGATCAGCTATCGAGAGTCCGAACCAGGATAAATCGACTGTCTCTTGCGTTCACCGTCGAGTTCCGCATACGCTGAAGCCCGAACATACTGCCCCGGGTACCCCCGTGGCAAGTTATCGGTAGTCAAACATCGACAATAACTATGTAAGCACTTGTTTTTTGTTACTTTGCTTTGAATGTTCACTGTGATCCATTACTGAAATGCGTTCACGGCAATGACCACATACACCTCTGTTCCATATAGGATCACAAAAACTTAAACTGAAATACACTACAAAATTAGACATGCTCACCTAAGAAGTGAATATGAAAACAGTCGGTGTCAGGAAGATCAAAACTCAGTTTTCTCTATTGCGTCTAAAGTTTTTTTTCCATCGGCTGTATCTTTTCTCAATCTGACCTGTCTTTAAACAAATTGAATTGAATGTCGAGCCATTATTCGATGAAATTATTTTTTTCCTAGGACATGTTATTGCAGAGTGTTGGGCTATAGGCTCATGAATCAACTGATGATTGAGCATTGATCATGGCTGCACACACTTTAATTTACTTTGGAAAAGAGAGAACCTCTTTTTTTTTGTTGAAAGCATAATTGGTGCACACTTTATTGTGGTGTATATGTGTAACTTTCAACTTCAAATGTCAGCATATCAAATATCTATGGAAATCTATCTGAAACTTGTGAAAGGATAAATACATCTAGCATTTCAGTTGGCAAAAAATGTGTGAACTTTGGCATTTTCTCACGACTAACTAAATGGTTTATAGACTGCTTGTCTGCTAATTTCTTGTCAGGTCTGATCCATCACAAATACTGGGATATTTGGGTCTAAAAGGTTTATGCTGCTCTGTCCTTGTGGCTAGCAGGGGAGATGGAGATCTCAGAGAGAGAATGTGGAGGTGAATGAGTGAGAAAATGTTACCATAAGATGGAGGGATGATTATTGGAAGTTAATCATTTGCAGGTGCATTCTTGCTTTTAGGTACCTCTATTCTAACTACCTATCTGATTGATACACAATATATCTGCATGCAAATTGCTTTAGGGGTGTTTAGTATCTGAGGCTCATGATTTTTTTGTAAAATATTGTGACTAATGTGTGTGTTGGCTGTGGGATCTTGGACGCGGATCCAGCTATTGACCCCCCCCTCTCTCACTCTCACCCGATTGATTTTAAGCTACTCACAAAATTCCATAAATCGTGACTTATATGAAAGCCATCCCATGCTATTATATGATACTTTTAAATTGCAGTACTAATTTTTTGTGTTGCTTTTTTCCCTTGACAGATGGATGGAGACTATTGGATGCTATTAAATTGGTCATTGAATTCAAGGAAACCGTGCTGAAACTTGATGTTTATTGATATCTTATATTGGTTGACTGCCTTGGTTAAAGAGTGAAGGATGGCTCAATTTCTAAACTGGATGCTGAGAGCATGCACAATATTGAAAAGTGTCAGACATATTTGTTAAGTGATGGTGTTCTTTTATTGAACTAGGCAGTACAAGAGGGCATAAACGAAGTTCTAGGACTTCTGACATTGTCATTTACGTAAACCAAATATTGATCTTTGACTTCTGACATCGTTTAGACATGCAAGATCATATAGCACAAGTAAACTTTGACATATCCTTTACCTAAACCAAATATTGCAATTTCTGCATGTATGTTCAGTTGATAAGGAAATGTATAGAATTAGTGCTTTGCTAACTCCACCTAAACTGTCCACAAATTTGCATTTGCATCGCTATCGATTCTACATAATTGAATTGGGAAGCCAAAAATTGCTACACTGATTTTTTGGAGCCTCTCTGAACTTCTTTTCCTTCCCATGCACAGTTCTGAATGTATCTATTGTATCTGAGCAAACTACCATTGCTGAACTCCTTTAGGTCCAGAGCTGCAGTTTGCCGCACCAATCAAGACATCATTTCAAAGTTTGCAAACTCATAGGCATCTAAACTAATTCAGTAATTGTTCCAGTGTCTTCACTTTTTAGATTTTCATGTAGCATAACTTAGGACTAAATACATTACTCATTTATAGGAGTATATAATTGTGGTTCCCGCTATAACATACGGACACTCAACTAATATATATATATATAAATATATAACTAAAATATTGATAAGAGAATCGTCGACAGCCTGTGAAACAAATCATCGTTCGCCCCCGCCGCTCCCTTCGTGCGAAACAATCCCCTGCCCGGCTCCCTCTGTGGCCCCCTCTCCCTTACCGACGCGGAACCACCACCCACGCACGATGCCGACCTCGCCCCCACGGCCCGCGCTTTACACCCAGCTCTCCCTGGGGCCTCCTTCCCTCTCGCCCGCACAACCGCAGACTCCCATGCGGCATCCCAGCGGTGGCAGCCCGGAGGCGGAGTGGCATCCGAGTGGAGGAGACGGCGGAGGTAGAGCGGCTTCCCAGCCACGGAGGCAGAGCGGTGTCCGAGCGGAGGAGGCGGCAGAGGCAGAGCGGCTTCCCAGCTGCGGAGGCGGAGCGGCAACGACGACGTCAGCGAGCCTGCATCACGAACAGGTGGTGCTCCTCCGCTGGACGCTAGAGCTGGTTCTCATCGGAGTCAGGTGCCCTGTCCTTGGTGAGCTCGATCCTCTCTCCTGCCCCTGTCTTTTGATTGTCCAGATCTGCCAACCTGTGCTCCTGTGCTGTGCCAGAGATTGATATTTGTGCTGATTATTATGGATGCGAAAATATGGAAAATGAGATTGGGATTGTGTTTATCGTTGATTTTTAACGGGGAAGTGCTAATTAGTTGTTCTAAGCTACGATCCTACCACTTCTCGTAGTTTAGGTGTTTGAAAAAATGTCTATTTTAGGGCAGATTCGGTGTTCATTTATTTGATCAGTGGGGAATATTTTAGGATCCATTGCACTCTTCATTCATGGATTCTTCTTCTTTTTTTCCTTCTAGAATCTTAGAGTTTCCAGATTGTACTGTGATTTCAAATTGTGAGATCCATTATATCGAGGTCTCTAACACTATTTCTTACATTTTGCAAATCAAAGAACAACTCATATCTGGAAGTATCACCTAATACCTACACACATGAAAAATGTGGATGATAACCTACTGCTCTTCACTGAAAAGAACCTATTTGACCTTATATTGTACATGCCACAACATAATCCAGGAGAAGGAATGCCGGCGTCGGTGGTGACCCTGTCCCCATGGCCGTGACGTGCAGCATTTGGTCCAAAGCGCTACGAGCACAATGCAGCTGCCTAAGAGGTACATCTTCCTTACTCTGACTTGCTTTAGAATATCTCCCTTCTATCAAAAGCTCTGCCATATCCTCAAAGGAGAGGATGGCTGGACAATTGAACAGAGTTTCCTACGTAGTTCACCAAATCTTCTTAATTGATGTGCAGCAGGAGTAAGACACACTAACCTCCACTCTTTTTTTTTGCAATTGGATCTTTTTTTTTGCAATTGGACCTGTTGAATACTGTCCCCTGATTCCTTTCCCTGAAACAAATAGATCTGCAAATATTGGCTGCACACCAAGTGCTCGAGAAAATGCCTCACTGGAATTAATTGAATATGAATGTCAAGCCTCATGAGATTCAGATCTTTTTATTTCTTCTTATTTCCTTTTCACGTGGTGTGGACAAGCACACCAGGGCGAGAGAGCCTTGGTGGTGTGGACAAGCACTAGCTGCTGCTGCCCTCACTTGCACAAGACAAGACCAGGGGCATGGGAGCGGCCGCTGCTGGGAGCCAGAAAGCTTGGAACAGGAGAGTGCAGAGTAGAGATAGTGTGATCGTCTTTCTCATGTAAAGAGCGTAGAAGGGGAGTTCTTGTTGTGTGTTGATGGTGCATGGTGCGTTAATGATCTTGCGTAATGCAGATCCAGGTAAGGAAATTACCTCTTCTCTATATGCATACAAGCACTTATCCATATCTCTTTGAAACAGAAGAATGTGTGATCAATTAACTACTGGGCTTTTCAGTACATGTTATTTTTTGCTTCAGAAGGCCATGCTTTCAATTAGTGCTTTTGGCTTGTGAGAAATGGACGAAGTCTAGATGCTAACTCTTCGTGCTTCTCTTTCGAACAAAGGTCAGCTCATAAGTCAGAACATAGTTTCTTCGATAAGGAATGTTCAATCCAGTGTGGAAATTACGCATGCTGACAGTAGTAGACTGTCAGATTCAAGCAGCATGAAATTCTGTTTACGTTGTATGATGTCTAAACTATGTTTTCATCCTTGGAAATCTGGTTCATCTACAAATGTCTACATGTGCCAACTTAGGAGGAACTAGGTGGTATTTTATTAAGATTAAGAAGAAAATAGGCACCCAAATTCGCCTCGATGAGGATTTGAACCTAGATGGTTTGGGTATACACAATTGATCTAGCTCAGCTTTCTGCAGTGCAGAGAGCTTACTGGACTAGATGCCGAAATTGGTGACATCATCACGTCTAGCCATGAGAAGGCTGAACTGGTCGATTTTTTTTCTCCCCGTCTATCTTCTTCATCATTTTAGTGGCATATTATTGAAGGTAAGGTCACCTAGATCAGTTCCTCACCTGCGGTTTGCTATCACCACACTACTCGACTTCTATCAGGTAACTATGTAAGCACTTGTTTTTTGTCACTTTGCTTTGAATGTTCACTGTGATCCATTACTGAAATGCGTTCACGGCAATGACCACATACACCTCTGTTCCATATAGGATCACAAAAACTTAAACTGAAATACACTACAAAATTAGACATGCTCACCTAAGAAGTGAATATGAAAACAGTCGGTGTCAGGAAGATCAAAACTCAGTTTTCTCTATTGCGTCTAAAGTTTTTTCCATCGGCTGTATCTTTTCTCAATCTGACCTGTCTTTAAACAAATTGAATTGAATGTCGAGCCATTATTCGATGATTTTTTTTTCCTAGGACATGTTATTGCAGAGTGTTGGGCTATAGGCTCATGAATCAACTGATGATTGAGCATTGATCATGGCTGCACACACTTTAATTTACTTTGGAAAAGAGAGAATCTCTTTTTTTTTTTGTTGAAAGCATAATTGGTGCACACTTTATTGTGGTGTATATGTGTAACTTTCAACTTCAAATGTCAGCATATCAAATATCTATGGAAATATATCTGAGACTTGTGAAAGGATAAATACATCTAGCATTTCAGTTGGCAAAAAATGTGTGAACTTTGGCATGCAAATTGCTTTAGGGGTGTTTAGTATCTGAGGCTCATGATTTTTTTCTAAAATATTGTGACTGATGTGTGTGTTGGCTGTGGGATCTTGGACGCGGATCCAGCTATTGACCCCCCCTCCCCACCCCCACCCTCTCTCTCACTCTCACCCAATTGATTTTAAGCTACTCACAAAATTCCATAAATCGTGACTTATATGAAAGCCACAATAAGCTAGTGTGTGTGTGTGTGTGTGTGTGTGTATATATATATATATATATATATATATATATATATATATATAACTACTATTCTACTTTGAGTTATGATAATTACTATGTTAATTTACGATATTATAGTAACTCCATACTAAGTGGTTTACTATAACGTTATGGTAAATATCTTCATATATTATAGTAATCCAATTATCGTAAATATGTATTGACATTATCGTAAATTAGTATATAAAATTATCGTAAATGGAGGTGGCTATGGAATAACTTATTTTTATAGCTGGCAACTGAATATACTGTCCATATATATATATATATATATATATATATATATATATATATATATATATATATATATATATATATATAGAGAGAGAGAGATATAGAGAGAGAGAGAGAGAGAGAGAGAGAGAACTACTGTCCTGTAGCTGGCTATAAAATAACTTATTCTGTAGCCACTTTGAGTTACGAAAATTATTATATTAATTTACGAGTTATAGTAACTTCTTCTTAAGTGGTTTACTATAACGTTATGACGTTATGGTAAATATCCTCATGCGTTATAGTAACCCAACTATCATAAATATGTATTAATATTATTGTAAATTATCGTAAATGGAGGTGGTTACAGAATAACATAACTTATTTATACTCTCTCTCTCTATATATATATATATATATATATATATATATATATATATATATATATATTACTACTTTCTCCGTCTAAAGCTAGAATTGTATTTTTTTTTACTAAGAGAGTATATATAAGTACATATATTAGTGCCTAAATCTTACGTACCAGAAATTAATTAAATAAAGTCCTCCTGTCGGCCGTTCTACCATGATAATGATATATCACTTTTTTAAGCAGCTGTGATAATCCCAGACAGAGAGAGAGAGAGACAGCACTGACGGCCTGATGACAGGGCACGCTGCAAAGAATCTGCATGTGTGTCTGTGCGACTGAGACTGTGCGATGCATGCACGCGTGCATGGGCCACATTGGTTTGGCTTGGGCCTGTTTCGAATATGGGCCACCTGCTGTTTTGAGGAGAAGATCAGTGCCAGCCGGCCCAATTGGAGTGTACATACGCTAGGCCCAACATGGACTCTGCATTTCGTTACCGATCGATCCGCCACCCAGTGCGAACTTTTTCTTTGCCAAAAAAGGAAAATCCTTTTGAGTATGATCCCCTTATTTATAAAACTGGATTTTTTTAACCCCTTCAACTTTTAAAACCGCTTGTTTTTGCATCCTAGGTGGTTTTGTAACTTGGCACCCGGGTAAATTAGACTTGATAGTTTAGGGAGGTGGATTGGACGACAACTTTTGTTTTCATTTTTTTTCTAGAAAGTTTATGTAATTAAAAATCTACATCTTGTTTCCGCTTGTTTTTGCATCCTAGGTGGTTTTGTAACTTGGCACCCGGGTAAATTAGACTTGATAGTTTAGGGAGGTGGATTGGACGACAACTTTTTTTTTCATTTTTTTTCTAGAAAGTTTATGTAATTAAAAATCTACATCTTGTTTCCGCTTGTTTTTGCATACTAGGTGGTTTCGTAACTTGGCACCCAGGTAAATTAGACTTGATAGTTTAGGGAGGTGCATTGGACGACAACTTTTTTTTCATTTTTTTTCTAGAAAGTTTATGTAATTAAAAATCTACATCTTGTTTCCGCTTGTTTTTGCATCCTAGATGGTTTTGTAACTTGGCACCTGGGTAAATTAGACTTGATAGTTTAGGGAGGTGGATTGGACGACAACTTTTTTTTTTTTTTTCTAGAAAGTTTATGTAATTAAAAATCTACATCTTGTTTTCTTATCTTATAAAATTCATAGAAACAATGTTTTACTTAAAAAAAATCATGAAACTAGTTCAATAGTTTCCCTAAGATCATACTCTATCGTTTGATGCCTAAATTGGAACTATTTAAGTCTTCTATGAACTCATTTTGTTTTTTATTCCTAGTATAAGCTACATTATCTATTATAATTAGTCTACATATATTATTGATCTGATGAACTATGTAAAAGCTCAGGTGACTTTGATGACAACAAAATTGTCGCCTAGATTGGAACTATTTGAGTCTTCTATGGACTCATTTTTCTTTTTATTGCTTGTAGAAGAAACCATATATATTAAAATTAATCTGCAATGATGACCAGGAGTACGTAAAAGTTCAGGTGACTTTGAAAACAACACAATTGTCATGTAACCATATCATACTTGATCCTATTTAGGCCTTGTTGGTACAAGTGGGGAGTAAGCGCTACCCTAAGAAGTTATACAAATGGAGAAAAATAATAGCCACAATAAGCTAGTTTGATCTATTTTATGCATTTTTAG